TTACCACTTGATGTAGTTCCAAAACCAACGACCCAGTTGTTGTCACCGGTGTAGAAGGTGCTGTCTGCAGAGGCCAAGCACACCGGCTGGATGTAGTCGGTAAATTTCACGGGACTCGACAGCTTCAGAAGAGCCATGTCGTTGTCGTTGCTCAATGCATCGTAATCAGGATGGGTTATGATCTTATCAACTACCCTTGACACTTCGTTCAAGTTTTTACCTGTCATGCTTTCGCGGCCCAGAACAACCGTCATGTTTCTGGGAAACCTGAAGACAAAATAGAACATTTAGGTTTATTATTTAACTTTTGCAAACAAAATAGAAACAATTCCTGTAATATTTCTAAGAGAAAACTTGATTCCTTACTCTGGGATGCAGTGAGCAGCAGTCAGAACCCACGTATCGCTGATCAGGGACCCTCCACAATTGTGATCCTCATCAATTTGTAAACTGGCTATCCAGGGCCAAGTTCCTGCAGCCGCATCTTGACCTCCCACAATTCTGGGGTTGTTTACCGCCCGGCCACATGCTGTCAGAGAAAAGAGAGCAGATTAGACATGGATATGTACAACCAGTCATTTTCATAAATAAACTTGTAATGTTGCTCATGTACGCTTACCTTGCTGCTGTTTTGAATGACATCCTGAAATTGAGAACACAGAAAGAAAAATGTTATGCAGACGTCTTGGTTGAAACAAGGGTTGACAAGCATTTAGTGGTGGAACAATGTGTCTATCTTTTATTTGAGTAAACTTATCAATACCACACTGTGAAAATACTACAAGCAAAGTTCCTGTATTGAACATTGTATTAGGACATAAGGACATAAGGTATAGTCAGAAGAATGTACTAACCCAATCTAAAATTAAAGAAGCAGACCAAATAATTGATTGATTTGATTTACTTGTACTGTTTGCTCGTAATAATATTTTATAGAGTCTTGGGTTTTTTTGTTCACACATTTTATTTTCTAAAGTAACTCAACTTTAAAGTACAATACAAAACGGTCTAACAGTTCTCTTAGACTTGTAGTGGAATTGAACTATAAAGTGGCTTGAAATTATAAGTACTTCGATGTTGTACTTAAGTACTTGAGTAGATGCACTCCATCATGCATTTGTGAGCACACACCAAAACACAGGATATACTGTATGATAGTTTGACTGTGGCTTCCTTTATTGGAGGCAGAAATTGCCACTTAATTTCCTTTCAATTCACTTTAAAAAGTCTACATTCCACATATCTCCAATGTATTCTGCCTTATCGTGTCACAGAATCTGCAGTATAGACAAACCCAAAATCCTGATGTAGTCACTGATAATGCTTCACTTTGGACATTAGATAGATGAACTTCACCACGCCTTGCCAAATAACACATTTCTTCTAAGCAATCGCACAAAATAACTAAACACACGGAAACACAATAGAACTCTCAGTGCAAAGAAAATAAAACGTGAAAATGAAACAAATACGATTATCTTTGTTTTTTTTTCCAACTAAATTGCTAAAAAATGGTTTCTTTCAGGGCAGGGAAATACCATGTTATAAGCTTCTTGTTGTGCTTTTCGTAAAGGATTTTTAAAATACCACAATGTTGATAAGGGTTATCATGATAAATGATGGTCCGTTAACATTGTTGGGTTAACCCGCCCTGAAATATTCAAGTTTTGCACCGTTTCTCCAGCAGATAAAAAAATAAGGAATTACCTTAAAAACAGTAACAATACTGTTGCTGTCCATGTTAATTCATCATAGTTTTAAATAAAGAAATATAAAATACTGGATCCAATCAATATAGTTGTAATCAAAGCAGAACGGATTGCAACTGATTACAAACACTTTAAGCAAATTAGCCTTTTATCCTTTTAACAACCAAACATTTGTAACATTTTAAAGATAAATCACATGATCTTTCTCACCATTGGATAAGAGGATGATCATCACAGCTGAACCACACAGAAGTTGGTAAAGAGCCATTTTCACTGTTTCTTCTTCCCTCTGTCCTGACAATTAAATACCCCACACCTCATAACTAGCTCCGCCCACAACCTTTGACTACAGTACGTTTTTTACCAGAATCTTTAGTTCCTTCTCGTGACAACAACCCCCTTCATACCTCAACACATATTGTTAGAAGGTATGCATGTGAACAATCCCCAAGTCAACTGTTTTTTTCTGATGTTGTTGTGTTTGCAGCAGGCATGTTTTGTTTCCTAGTGTTTTGTAAAATGCAATCGTTCACATTCATTTCATTCATTTTGCGTTAAATTGTTCTGACGCAATGCCTTTTAATGTCTGAGTATTAATTCAATCATCCCGTATCACAAATCATTTTGAACTGTAAAGCTCTTTGAACTACTTTTATACTACTTCAGTAGTTGTGTATAGTAACCAAATACATGTTCTCAAGTACTGTACAATTGAGGTGCTTGTACCAAGCCTGTTTTTCAGGTTTCAGGCTCGAAAGTGACATTCCCAGAACAAATGACCATATCTTCCCTTCTAAAACGGTTAAATTAATAATCTTTTTTCTCAAAGTAATGATAAACCTGTGAGTTGGATGTAGAAAAGTCAGAATCAATATAGATGTTTTTTACTTTACAAGAGCCATTTCAGATTCCGAAGCATCCGGGCAAAAAACTGTAAATTGATAGTGTCCGTCCAAAAGATATGTTGTACTTATCAGTGAAAACTAACCTTGGATGATGGGTTAGTAGACTAAAGAGGCTTTAGAATTCCCAAAAGTACAACAGATAATAAGTACCACTGTATCAAAGAATTGATGAAAACAAGTGATATTTGACCTTTTTAGACAAGATTAGTTAAAAAAAACTCTTCAGGGGGGGCCATCTGGGTGAATTTTCCAATCTCCTGGCCCCCTTGGCTGCGATTTGACATTATGCATCTCTTCTGACCGTTAGAGCCAATAGAATCAAGGGAAATCTTCCATAGACACCCATGTTAAAAAAAAAAGGTTGCGTCTTTGCGCATGCAACCGCTCCTGCAAGAGGCGTAGGAACTACCCCTGGCTCTGATAAATCTGGAAAAAACGGAAAAGCAAGTTTTGCTTGCTTTAATGGATTATCAGAAGAACATTTCAAAGAGGGACACCCAGCCACATTGGATTAACCCTAATGGATTAACTACACCCCCAATCTTGTTTCATCGTTTTAATGGCCATTGGGGAAAAGACCATGAGCCAGACCAAAAGACCAAGGTTTAGCCATATTGCGTTTTTGGCTAACCTAACGCTACATGTTTCATGTAGGTTTTTGTTATTTCTGGCAATTTTTTTATCTTTGAGTCTTGAGGTGGGTATCAATAGATTCTGTTGTCTCCTTACGATCATAAACGATGTGTTGGATTTGGCAGGCCTAGGATAATGTGAATAAGGGTGGCTAGGAGAGATTTTCGGTGCAGGTAATAGGTTAGGGCATTTTTTCGCTCGGGGCTAATTCAGATTATTTTATTAAAATACAAATAAAAAAGATCAGTTAAATTGTTTTTTTTGCGTTATATGGAAATATAAACACACGTTCACCATTTATTAAAATGAGTTCCGTTAGACGTTGTTTGCTGGGCAATGACACGATTTCGGCCCCGATACGGGTCCGTGGGGGCTTAAGAAGGATAACTGAGTATTTTTACATTATGGGCTATGATCATATTTTACTCATTAATTCTGTAGTCAAACGGCTGTACTATTACTCCCACTAAAAGTATTGTACCTACTTTCAGTTAAGTAAGCTCTGGGCTTTGCAGAAATGTAACCGTCAACCGCAATTACATGTATATGTCACCAACTAGGCATTAGTACCATATGAAGCCTTTACAGCTACCGCAGCTTGTATGATATCACGGGAAGTCCATTCAAATAAGAGCGCCCTATCCAATCTTTAACATTGAAGAAAAAAGATGTATAGCAATTATCAGCATTACATACAATCATTTAAAAATATTGGTCGCTCGCCGCTCGCCAATTAACGCATAATGGAGCTATTTTGAAGGGGACGCTATCATGAAAATGTACTTTTGCGTCTTTTATCACCACAACAATATGTGTCCCCCCGGTGTGTCAGGGAACTCACGAAGTGTCAGAAAAACACAACCAATCTCTCTTTTCCTCGCATACCGAACAATCTCTAAAAAGCGGAGGGCTTGAAAACGGATCTGGAGCACGACTGAATACAGATTTGAAATTGTTCTGACGTCAGAACGCGGTGCTCCGCTAATATGGGGCAATCCCCCACTTCTCCACCTATCAGCGGGGAATGATAGGTTGCCGTGGCATGGTAACAGCATGGGTAACAGCAAGGTACAAGGCATGGTAGCATGAGCGGCTCTGTGCGCCTCGGCGTGCCCTGCGCCCCCCTGGCTTGAAAGACGCAATAGAGCGAATGAGGGGGCATGGCTAAAATGCATGATCTGTTAAGTATTTTTGAAAAAAAAACTTCAGAGACATGTTTTATATAGGTATGGCCCCTACAATTATCTATTCAACATATAGCATGAAGGTCCACTTTAAAGTATATTTTTGATGCTTTTGTACTTTTTTTTCCAAATGTTGGCCCACGTTCT